CACCCTCTCTCTCTGCCTCTCTCTGGGCTTGGAAGCACTTGAATACAAAGTTCAGTGAATTGTTCTGGCATAGCAGCTTGTGTGTAATGACTTCTGACAGCAGTGGAGACAAACTGAAGAGCATGTCTGTCTCCGCATGAGTATTTACAAATCTACTCTCGGGAACCGCATTCCAATTCTGGAAACACTATTATATGCAAGCCGCCATGAACAACCGCATGTACAGGATGCATATCCGGAGGTGCTCGTTTGAAATAAATGGAGGACGCGACTGCAAGGGACACTGCCTTCATATTCCCCGTAGAACAGTCTGAGAAGTTTGTTATAAACATAAAGTATCTCTGTGATGTATTAGAGTAATTTAAGAGGTACAGTTTGGGGGGAGAGCAGCTGCCTGCTCCATCATACAGAGCCACTGGCTCCACTGAATCTGGCTGTTGTTCTCATCTGGCTGCCATCCAACACTGATGGGATTTTGGATCTGCTATGCATTATGAACTCCTTCTTAAAAGTGAAATGCAAGTGTGGCCAGGGTGTGTTCTTTAGTTTGTTTCTGAAAAGAACGCTTTGTATGAGCCTTGTGCATTGGAGTGTGCGGCTCTACAAAGGGCAAAAGTTAGAGATACCCAAACTTTGCGCAAAAGTAAAAACCATGTTAAATACTTATGTCTTAAGTAGAGACACAGCACCCATATCTATCTCTGTTAAGAGCCTGCTTTGGCCTTCGTGGCTTGGGCTAATGTCAGGCTCTTTGTAGTTAATGTGGACCCTTGAGCAGTTCACCATTTGGGCTTTCTCTAACCTCCACTTTGATGTTGCTCTAAATTGAGTCTGCAGTCATCCTGTTGTTCTGGTATGCCAGCTGGAGGGGGGGGGGGGGGGGGGGGGGGGGGGGGGGGGGGGGGGGGGGGTGTTTTGGGTTGTTTGGCTAGGAAACTCTTTCTGCACTTGTCTTGACTCCTCTCTAATCTTTCTAATTGGAATCGGGGGGTCTGAAGGTCCCCTGAGAGCTGCCACATCTTTGTGGTCATAGTGTGCTGATGTGACGGGGTCAGAAGAACAGAGTTATCCCAATGACTGAGTGGTTTTCTTTTCTACACTTTGTTCTGGCCTCAAGGCCCCAAACAGATCCATACTGTTTTCGTTCCAAGTGGCTTCACGCTTGGTGGTTGTTTACATGGTGTGTGGCTGAAGTTGTTTTTCCTCTTCACACTCCTTTTCTTGTTAACTGTTATTGTCAGGAAACACTGTAGGAAATACCCTTTACCAAAAGGTGAAGTGCTGGGCCATTAGGATTTCACACCTCTGCTTACATTTGCACAGAATGGGCAGTAAAAAAAAAAAACAGCCAAATGTGTTTTTTCTTTTACTTTCCTCACATGAAGGTCTCTGGCACTTTCAGCTCAATGTCAGGAAATCATAGTTCCTAAACCTCAAAGCTGTTATGTCTTTATTGGTGTGTGCAAATGTGTCTGTGCAGTCTTCACGGGTACGCTGTGTCATAGCTACGCAATTGAGGCCTGTTGTGTTTCATGGTGGAAAGTGTAAGACAGGAGCTCTGCATGTGTATTAACAGCTGTCGTCTCTCCCTGTGGGGAAGCAACACAATCCCAGAGTTTTCTGAAGAAGCTGTGCCTCATTACATTTGGGTCTCAATGTAGGGATGAGCAATTATTCAAGAATGAGACCACAGCAGTCGAACTATATATCATGTGAAATCCAAACTTTGTAGGAGTATAATAGAAAGCAAGAGATTTATGGATAGACTGCGGAGATCATCTATCTGCCTGTCTACTTTTGACCACCGTGAAAAATCTGTGGTGGTAAGTAACAAAGTACAGAAGCACTGTACTTAAGTACATTTTTTAGATGCTTTACTTCAGTATTTGAATTTTCTGTGGTGGGGTGGGTGGATGGGTGGTTCTGTCTACAGAAGCCATAACCCAGTTACTCAAGATAATCCACAGACCTTGTTGTGAGCAGTTTTATGTAGGAACTATTTTCTTTATACTGAACTACACCTGCCAACCATATCACTGCACATAAGGAAGCATGCATCTGCTCATGGACGAGGGGCTCGGGCTTGTGACAGCTTTAAGATTTAAACATAAATGGCATCCTCCTCGGCTGAGCTTGAATGTTAGCTAACACAGTGGTGCTTTAATTTGATAATGATGATAAAGTGGATGCCAAGATGGCGCCTCTTCATTCCAATGGAGATGCTCGCCTGGCACATACTCCTAAAACATTTTCTAGCTTCTGGGTTTACTTCCACGGTATGCGGCCCACTGAATATGTGCAGTAGTGTTTCTCCTGCTGGCCTCGCTCAACTCATAGACTTAATACTGATATGACGTCACAGATTTTTAAATTGGTTTTCACAGCTTCAGGAGAGTTTTGCGAATATAAAACCATAATGGCTCAAAAATTCACAATAGAAAGAGCCATAACTGACCTTGTTTGCAGTTTCAGGTGTCCTGTCAACAGTTTTATGGACATCTCTTTTACAATGGTGGCCTTTGGGGAAAATGCTTTCTGGGCCACGGGGAATTTTTTACTGCAGTGTGATGAGCTTTCCTGGGGGCCTGGTAGATGCACACTTCCTTCTGTGCAGTGATACAGTTGGCAGGTGTAATTTGGTAGAAAGAAAATAGTTCCTACATGAAACTACTTACAACAAGGTCTGTGGATTATCATGAGTAACTGGGTCATGATTTCTGGAAAGAGACATTGCTGCTGAGTTTGTCAAATGGTTTGTTTTAGTTTGTTCGTTTGTTTTGGCACTTTAAGCACCACAAGCTGAGTGCCATGTAGTTCCATTATATTGGGGAGAATGCAGACATCTCTACAACCAATATTTCCAACACTCAGCAACTCACACCAAAACAATCTAGATTGATAAACAGCACTACAGGTAAGAGGAAAAATGCGTAATTTTGATTTTAGGATGAACTGTCTCTTTAAAGTGATGTACAGATGAATGGATTAATTACTAATATAAATTATTCTGAAATGGTCCCTTCTGCATAAAGAGTACAGCACTTTCACATTTGCTATAGCCTATAAGGGAAATTTCGGTTTATTTCAACCCGTCTCCTATCGTCCTAAATTTGTTTCAAGTGACTAGTGACATACAGATAATAGTTAGCATGTTAGCCGTTAGCCTAGATACAGCCGGGGCGCATAGTAGCGTCAGACCTGTTAAAACGTAAGTGAACGGGCATCCCTTCAAGTGCAAAGTTAGTCCACTAAACAAGCTTTTTTCCACCAAGACCGCCTCATATCGTTGGGATAAATGTCAGAGAACATATAGAAAATGACATGTAAATGTGTTGTCTTACCTTACGGGTGTGGTGCCATGTTTGTTTACCATTTAGCTCTGCTTTCCAAAGCGCGGCTGAAATATTGCGAGAACAAGCAGCGATCTCATACCGTGCTTGAAATCTTGCGAGCTCTAGATAAAGCCCAGCTGGATACTATTCCAGGTGGAGGTGTCTCATCCTCGGTCACATCCAGACCTTGAAAATAAGGCTGCAACCGGTCCCATTCCTTGCAACAGAGGCATTCCTCTTCTGTGGGCACTGGGGCACAGCATTCACAGGTACACCACCAATCTCCAGAGCTACACAGCCTTGCAGCAGCCATTCCTCCTCTCTCGTCCTCTACCTGTTGCGCCTCTCTCTCTCTCTCTCTCTCTCTCTCTCTCTCTCTCTCTCTCTCTCTCCTCTGTTCTTCAATTTCACGAAGCTCTTTGTCAGTGGATTCTGGCTCAAATAAATAAGGGCGGCCATCAAACTCTGCAAAATCAAATTCCTCCTCCACAAAGTCGAAGTCTGGCAAAAAGTCAGCCATTATTCTATAAATCTTTCATAAAATAAATGAATGAACTTTTCTGCTGATCGCTGCTTGTTCTCGTGATATTTCGGCCGCGCTTTGGAAAGCAGAGCTAAATGGTCAACAAACATGGTAGCACACCGGTAAGGTAAGACAACACGTTTACATGTTGTTTTCTATATGTTCTCTGACATTTATCCTAACGATATGAGGCGGTCTTTGTGGAAAAAAGCTTGTTTAGTGGACTAACTTTGCACATGAAGGTTGTCCGTTCACTTACATTTTAACAGGTCTGACGCTACTATGCGCCCCGGCTGTATCTAGGCTAATGGCTAACATGCTAACTATTATTTTTATGTCACTAGTCACTTGAAACAAATTTAGGACGATAGGAGACGGGTTGAAATAAACTGAAATTTCCCGTTAAGTGTATTAGGATACTTATACTTCTGTATTTTTACTTTAGTTTTACTTGAGGGTTATTTCTACACTATAGCTACTTTTACTTGTGTAAAGGATCTGAGTACTTCAGTACCTCTATACTGTAAAAAAAAAATTAGAAACCCATATACAAATAAAAACTGTAACGTGTCATTTCATACAACAGTATCATTTTTCTTTACATTTTTTAAATTAATTTATATTTTGAAACAACCAACAACAGAATACACAGTGATAAAATATAACTGTACATAAAGGAAAATAAATAAATTAATTAATTGAGTATACGCTCAGATAATGTAGGCTATTATATTTGTGTTATATACCGAGAAAAAGCACAGAAAAGGAAAGAAAGTACATGTATGTGTCAAATGCTTAACCATGTACTGACATAAACATCCATGCACTCATATAAGTTAGGCTTGTATACTCTGTATACAGTGAGCAGTATAGGTGATGCACATACTGGCCACCAAAACACAAGGATGCTCTCATCCTTCTGTACAAAGCATCAAATACAAAAAATAAAATCTTAAACGTTTTTATCACAAGATAAAGTTTAAGTTGGAGACAGTTTCCCTTTATCTCAGTGTAAAAACAGTAGCTTGCGTCACTGCCCGCATGTGACGACAGAATCACAACAGTTTATCGGACCAATCGGAGGTGGTTGTTGCAGTAACCTAATCAGCCCATCACCACACAGCCTTCATCACAAAGCTGCGGCAGCTCGGGAAGATGCGGGTTGGCAGGGAAGGTGGATGAGTGACTTTAGGAACAAGGATACATCGCGGTACTTTTGGAAGAGTTTGGGAAATAAGTTTATCCAAACTTTGACTTGGTTGTGTGGTCGGTGAGCGACAGGCATTCGCACGTGAAACCACCTAAAACGGACTGGGACTGGCGAGAACTGGAAACTTTTTCTCAAATGAACTTTTTAGATCTTCCTGCTTACTTTGTGGCGCCTCATTGACTTCAAGTCCCCAACTGTGATATGATATGAAACCATCTTGGAATAACCTTGTTTTGACGCAGCGTGATAGAACCACAGAAGCCCATATGAAGTCTAACTTTTTTAAGATTCATTCTTCCTGGAAATGGCAAGTCGTGCCATATTGATGGAGCGGACAGCGGTGTTGATATGCAGTGTATTGATCCTAATCATCGGCTTCTGTGTCGGATCTCCTAACCACAGCCGCCGGCTGGTCTGCTGGAAAGCCATCCTGAAGTGCCACGGAGAGCCGGAGTGCCATTACGCTTACGACCAGTATGTTTATGCTTGCGCGTCTGTCATCAATGGGGACCGCAAGAAGTGTCCCAGTCACTGCATCTCCTCTCTCATTCAGCTCAATCTAACCCAAAGCGGCCCGGCTCTGGAGGACTGCGACTGCGCCCTGGACCCGGTCTGCAGGAACACCAAACAAGCCATCGAGCCGTGCCTGCCGCGGACCAGCACCATGGGCTGCACCGAGGCCCGGCGGCAGTGTGAGATGGACCAGACGTGTAGCTCCGCTATGAGGGATTATTTATTTAACTGCCGGAAACTTTTCGGTGGGGAAAGGTGCTCGGACGATTGCCGCAGAGTGATCGCCAACATGCGCTCCATACCGAAAGCGCAACAGTTAGACACTTGTGTGTGTGATGGCACGGACAGGAACATATGCGAGTATATCAAATTCAGCATGAAAACTTTCTGCTCCGATGATAGGTTCGCGGGCAGCGGCTTTTCAGACGCCGAGGATGATTCTGATGACGATTATATCGACCAGGATGATTATCAATATGTGGAAAAATCAAAAAGTGACTCCCCACCTGCTCAGACATTGTTAAATGTCCTGACCACCATTTTGGTTTTAACCAAATTTATCTGATAAGCTGCTGCCATTAAGAACCGCAGGGAAGTCAGTGGTTTGGCTCGTTGTGAATCAAAAGTCAACTCACTAGAATCTGTGTGCCTTGTTGTTATCAGCCTTTTCTTTGTCATTAAACTAACATTTGGGGCTTTTGAGTTCAACACTAAACTTTCTGCTACACATCTGCACAGTTCACACAATCCATGCGATTAACTGTTTGTTAATCACCCAGTAGCACATGCTCAATTTCAGTTATAAAAATGTTAGTCATCTAATAATGCTGAAGGAGCCTATTTTTGTATGTTGGCTATGTAAAGATAGATTGTACAGTATATTGTATAAAAATATTTGTTTATGAGTGACAAGAGATTTGCACTGTATGAATAGGTAGGTTCCACTCTTTTACTACATTATGACCACACAGGAAGGAGAAATGTTTAAAGTGCCTAAAACCCTTTATAGCCTACCAGTTTTATTCACCATATGACCATATCAGAGGCATGCTGTGAAAGCACAGTAATTATCTTGTACCAGCTGTACAGAGACTTTCTCCACAACCCCTTCATTACAAACCAAAGTTGATGTAAGCCACTGAAATGTGTCTAAATCCCAGGGAAGATAATGCATCTGAAACAAGTAGCTCCTCCTTAACCTTGTAAACATGGATGTTTGCTGAAGGTATAACATGTTTATAACGTGTTTCATCCTTGAAAACTGTTCAAACATGAGAAGGTAAACTTCTCTTGGGGATTTGCAACCCAAATGGAGCCAAGAAGCTGTTGCGTCAGTTTGTTTATCCTCACCCCCTGTGTTTGTTAAAGGTCCTCACTGAGAAAATAAAAAGATAAGTGTGTGTTCAGGTGAGTGGAGACATTAAGTGCCCATTAAGAACACACTCCTCTGAATGTACATGCACATTAAATAAAGAAGAGTTTTTAAAGGATTCATTTGGACACTGTGTGACTCTGTCTTTAACTTTGAATCTTTCGTCTTTTTTAATTAATTTTTAAAAGTTTTTGGCTTCATGTATTGATTAAAAGAGCGCAAAGCAATGTTGGGTCATTGACAGTAATCTCAGCTCTTATTTTGTTAAATTTAAGTACTTAAGGTTAATTGTAGGTTAAGAGAAACAATATGAAAATGCTTAAGTCATCTTTTTTTCCATGATAGTTATTTTGACTGTCTGATGAAATTTTTCTTGGGTTGTGATGGATTTGGGACTAACTCTTCTTAAAGGCATTTAACACAAAATGTAATTTCAAATACTTAAAGGGATAGTTCTGATCTTTTTAAGTGGGGTTGGATGAGGTACTTATCCATAGCCAGTGTATTACCTACAGTAGATGCTGGTCAACACGCACCAGTTTGGAGTAGCAGGCAGGAGTGTAACACGATGGCTAAGCAATGTACTGCTGTTGAGGTGGGCAACAGCAAAACATATTTACGCTACCTTAAAACATATTAGTAACAGTTTAAGTGTGTGCTGTATTTATAATATGTCCACTGCTTTACCTTAACCTTCAGACAGTGAATTCTCAACATGGAAATGAAGCTGTTTTGTCACTCTCTTCAAAGCCAGACTGCATTGAGAAAAACAGTAATTTTTAACATCACTGAAGACTGGAGCTGCTGGTCTACTGCTGCCTTGATCAGTTGGTTTGTGAAAACCCCTTTTGAGCATTACTGTCACAGAGTAACACACACTAGCTAATCAAGGCAGCAGTAGACCAGCAGCTCCTGTGTTCAACAAGCCAAAATAACTATTTTTGTCAATTTGGTCTGGTGGCTTTGACAAGATCATAGATAGGGTAATGAAGTTGGCTTCACTGTTGGAAAGGGCTGTCTGACGGCAAGGTAAAGCAGTGAATATTTTCAATAAAGTGTACACTCAAACTTACAAAGAATTTTTTAGGTGGGACATTTTTAGGCGGCTAAAATTCATTTTACTGCTGCACCCATTCACAGAGGTACATTAATGAGCTTCTGTGTTGGCTCTCCTGCCGCTTCTGCAAACTGGGCGTGTGCTGACCAGCATCTACTGTATGTAATACACTGACTATAGATAAGTACCCCATACAACCCCACTTTAAAGGATCAGAGCTATCCTTTCAACTGTGGTTTTAACACTTTTGCAATCAGAGGCCGAAGCCAAAACAATTCCATGGTTCTGCTGGCATCCTGGGTGTTTACCCAAAATGTAACTGAGATACATTCTTTAAGTATTAAGTGTCAGTACTACTTAGAGCATGTAACTGGCCTCAAAACTATTCAAAGCAAACTTTTACCTGCTTTAATTCTTCAAATTACTCTTTACTTAAGGAACCAACAACAATTTAAAAGCTGAGTTAGCTCATCCTAATTGTTTTTAATCAGTATAGTTGATCCAACATGCAAAACATTTATCGGCAGTAGTTGCTAAGAAAAAAGAACTTGTATACATCATACATGTGCTTTTTGGATTTTTTTTTAGGACGACATATATGACAGACCAATTTTAGGATTTCTGTTTTCAGTGTATAACACAGCTTTTAATCAGTGAGAGCAGTGAGTGCATGTGTCTGTTTACATGCTTGTGACTCATGTTATGAGTCAGTCAGTGCTCTATACTTACAAAAAAGCCAGTGTCCCCTCCTTCACTTGTGATAATGGGTCTTGAAACTATTGATGGCAGCCATGTTGCTTTTCAAGGAAAAGAGATGGGCCCTCCAGCCCATTGATTGGAAGAGAAGTCGAGTGGCACCTCTATTATGGAGATGCAAAATACACAATGGTGCAGCGGCACAATGTGGGGGCACTTCATTCACTCTGTCCCTCTGTCACCCTCTTTCAGGGAGTGGGGGAGCACGAGGAGACAGCTATCCCAGAGGAAGACGGAGGAGTTATGTGAGAAAGTTCAGCTTTATTGCTCAGTTTAACTCCTGCTGATACTCTGTCCGCAGTTCAACATTCATTTATGCAACAGTCAGTTCTTTTACGATTAGATGTGGTCTTCTTTCCAAAGCTCGAGAATAACTTTCTCTGCCATAGCTCTCATTAACAGACTTAAATAATAAATCCTACAATGGCAGAGACTGTTAAAAAATACCAACAAAGTGATGTGGTGAGGGCATTTCAGGGCCTTTGTTAGATGAGAAACAAAAGCCTGCCACTGTCACTTTAAGAGAGAAGGCCTCTGCTCCAACCATTAATAATTGTAATGCCTTTTTATCATTGTTGAGCATAATGAAGGGATGAGGATCATATGGGGGCCCCAGACCATACTTTGCCCTGAAATGTTTTCAATTAACTTTTGGCACCAGAGGAAAATAGGAATGTTGTGTTCTTTTCCCATGCTGAAACAGAAAAGAGTCAACTGGGGCTTTTAGTGCAGGGACCAGAACATCATTAAAATTGCCTCATCATAACTCAAACTGTTGCTTGGCCAACCTCCCCTCTGCCCCGCCCTGAACCCTTCCTCCTTTAGGTTACACTAAGGAAAACAGGCAGCCTTACTTTAGCTCTTTTTTGTAGACAATATATTCTCTTTGTAGGACGCTGGCAGTTGCAACTCATAATGTGTATAGTGTTCATTATTCCCACCCAACATGTCATTATATTATAACTGACTGATCATCTAAATTACAACATAAGCTTTTGGAAGGAGAAATTATTTCAGCCCATTAATGCAAAATAAGTTTAATGTCAGACACTGTTTTTCAGTTAGGTTGGCACAGTGGCGATCCAATAATTCCCTTCCTCTTAAAGTCTCAATGGAACTTTACAAATTTAAATGCTCCTCACATGCTATGCTGACTTTTTCCAGTTGAGCCTGTTTTGAAACTTGCAGCCTTGGAATAATTAAAAAAAAGGCTCTAATTCAGTTCTATTCACATCTAATTCATATGAACCTAAAGTGAGATGGAATTAAAAACAGAGGAAGAGGGTAAGACTTAAAGGGTAACTCAACCTGGACCCCATCTCCCTATGTTTTTGTGTCTAAGTGACTAATGGCAACAACAATTTTTGAAAGCGGTCCAGTATTGAGCGAGAGCGCTGCAGCCAGAAGCAGTGACACAGACTGCAGTGTAACCACTTGGGGCATTTGCACACTGTCAATTTACGGCCACTAAAAGTGCCTGTTTTTTCCATTGACAGGCTCAGATTACAACTCTAAGGGCTCTAGTTTCCCGGCGCAGCGCAGGGTGGCGAACCCTGCGCAGAGCTAGTTTTGAGCAGCGCAACCTGAGGCGTGCTCAGTTTGGTAGTTTGGCAGACCGAGGTGCGCTGAGATGGGTGTGGCGGCGCAGCAGGGGAGGTGTCGACAGATGCAGCTGGGCGCAGTGACAGTTTCATGGCAAAAGGTTTCGCTGAAGGTGCGCTAAAAGCTCGCCATCTGAAACCAGGTCTACTGTCAGCGCAGGCGGAGCGCAGCCAGTGTAAGCCGAAGTTTGGCTGACCGGCGGACAGTGCACACACGTCACCAAAACCTCACAGGCAGGTTTCCAGAATATCAGGCACATTAACGATGCAATAAATACCCAAAAAAACACTATTCAATGCAACTATCTGCAATCAGCACATAAATGTATCTCTATATCGACTGTCCCGTCACATCTGATGTCAGATCAAAGGGGATTGGCACCGTTTGGCACGTTTGATGGAAACCAACCTGATTTGATTAACACAGCTGCAAACTAATGAGTTCACATCCCTCTCAGCCAACCACAAACAGCCACAGCATCAGATAGGGAGTATATATTCAGCATTTGTCATCTTAGAAAAGCCAAAAGAAAAGGAACAGAGTGAGACTGCGAGAGAGGAAGAGAGAGAGAGAAACGCATCATTGATTTACAATTTTGGTGACCTCCTCCCAGGCTACCTTTGCATCATCAGCCCGTGGAAGTCTGCTCACAGTTCCGTATATTCAGACACTGCGAGCTTGGACCTCCCGGACCAAAACAGCAGTTTCCTCCTGGGAGAAGTTTGGCCGTCTGATGCTGCTGCTCTCTTCTGCCATGGCGAATTGAGTAAACTCTCATTACGCCTTCGCGCAGCCCATTTAAGGGCGAGGAGAGGGGATCATTTGATTGGTGTGATGTGTGTAAAACCCACTCTACGCCTTCTCTCCTCCTTCTTTCCGACTTGCACAGGTAGGAGGGACAGAGGTGGGATAGAGGAGTAGCTGCGCCAGGGCGCACGGTGTGCCAATCTTGCAAAATCCGCCTGGCCACACCCAGTTGGCGAAGCGCCCTAAGTGTCTGACAACATTATGGAAATGATCCCTACATAGATAAACCTTTTTGTTACAGGGTAAGATACTTTTTGTTAACCAGAAACATTCCCAAAATTGCCATCACCAAACCCACCAGACTTTAAAAAAAAGCTTTTTAAAAAATAAATAAACAGCATATTTTCACATCTAAGCAGGTATAGTAAGGGTTTATTTCAACTGAACCAGGGTTGATGATGTTTGGAACAGTGAAAAGATGAACCAAGTGAGCTTTTGTGAGTTTTATTTTATTTCTGTCGACTTTGAATAAAGTATTTTTACAATTATAAATTTTTTGTTTTTTTATATGGACTCTGGTGTGCTTAGCAACAACTATTTCTGGGCTGTTTCTGCTTAAACAAAAGGATCTTACTCTTTGACAAAAAGGTTTATCGCTGTAGGGATCCTTTCCATAATGTTGTCAAGCACTCTGAATAACAATCTGAACCTGTCAGTGGCGAACACAAGCACTTTTAGTTGACGTAAATTGATGGTGCACAAATGCCCCGAGTAGTTACATTGAAGCCTCTTTCCCCCTGCAATCTGCAGTGGTCTTGCTCAGTACTGGATCAGTTTTAATTTAATTAATTTAATTCAATTGTTCCCATTAGTCACATGGAGACAAAGACACGTGAAAATAGGGTCCAAGTTGAAAAATACAGAAGTTAGCCTTTTAATTAGGGCATATTGAAGAT